CACAATAGAGTACCATGTTTCCCCACTGACACCCCCTCGGGCCCTCAGCTGAAAGCCACTTGGTGGCCCAAGGGGGAAGGTGGGAGGAGGGGGAGGAAGGCACTAAGGAAGCTACCCCTGCCCCCACTCAACCAGCCTCCTGCCATCTGGGCTTGTACAATCATGGAGGGCTGGAGGAGCACCCCTCCCACCCACACCTCCTGTGGCGCTGGGGCCCCCAGAGCCTGAGAGTGGCAAGAGACAGACACACAGACCATGAGGCGAGATCAGGAAGCAAGGAGACTGAGACAGACTGACTGAGAAAGCCTTTCCTGACCTTCCCATGTGGGACAGCCTCTGCCCCTCTACCCACCTCATGCCTCGTGTCTGACACAGCACACGTACAGTATCCCAACTGCCTACCAGATGAAGAGCCTACCAGACCCCAGTGCCCAGCCAGTCCTGGCACAAAGCAGGACTTAAAGGTGGGATGAATAAGGGCCAGGGATTTAGCTCAGTGGTTTCATCGCCTGCTGCACAAGCGCAAGGACCGGAGTTCTATCCCTGGTACGGGGGGGGGGGGGAATGAATGAAGAACTGCAGAAGACAGCATCATGGAGTGGGAGTGGGGAGTCAGATTGCAACTCTGGAACCAGGCTGCTTGGGTTTGAATCTCAGCTCTGCCACTGAGAAACTTATGCCAAGTTGCTTACCCTCTGGGCCTCATTTGTAATGGCACCTATTCCACAGTGTTGCCAGAAGGACCAAGTTAATACATGTATGTAAAGGCAAACTGCACAGCACGTGGTAAATGCTCAGTAACTGTTAGCTACAAAGCATAACATATCTGAGAACACTGGGGGAGGGGACCAACAGGGACAGTGCCGCCCTGGCCTTTGTGTAGTGCACGGTGTTGGATGTGGAGTCCCCAGCTTGTGCTGGCAGCCTGTGGTGGCTAGCTGCTCTTTAGACATCACACGTGGCCTTCCACTTCCTCCTCTCACTTCTTATTTGGGCACCACTGACGACAGACTTCGCTGGGCCATCCCTGCCTCTCCTAGGCCTGGCAGCCATGGTAACAAAGAGCCTGGGGGATGGTCCCTAAGACAGGGTCAGAGAATGGCTGAGCACCCACACTGCCTTGGGCCCATCCTCAATCCTGTGAGTCAAGAGTCAACGCCACAGTAAGGATGTGTCTGCTGGGTAAGGGGGACCCGGGGTCCAATGTCAGGAGCTGAGGATAGGTTTCTCCTGCAAGGACCACTCCAGACCTGCGAGGGGATGAGCCAGAATTAAGCCCTCTGCTTTCAGGGTTTTGCAGGAGCTCCTCCCTTTGCCTACAGGCAGGCAGGAGAGACAGCCTCTTTCGGCTCTCTGGGACAGCAATGTAAAGATGAAATCTCGGGTCCTCTCAGTCCCGGGGGGTTTCTGCGCTGTCAGTTCAGGGGCATCAGCTTCCTCCTTCGGGACAGCAGCCCCACTCCCACCCGACCCCCGCAAAGCCCTGCTCCCCCACCCCCACCCCCCGCCTAAATAAGTCTCTTGTAGGCTTCATCCCCTCATCTTCCTGAATCTTCCCCCCAGGACCCCAAACTTCCTTACATGTCCCCTTACTGTTCCTCCTCTCCACGAATCACTAAAACTATCCACGCCCAAATTTCAAATCTCACCCAAGAAAAGCTCCTTCGCAGACACCCTCCAGGTATGAAGTACATTTTGGCTCCGCTCCGGGATAACATTTCTCCTCCTGCTCCCCTCGGTGCCTAGGTTTCCCGCGCTGAGTTTGCAAGTCGTCAAAGTTTTCCCAACCCGGCGGCGGGCCCTCGAATGCTGTGCGCTAGGCTCCCGAGGCCAAGCTCCCCCCCGGGGCAGAGCTGGCAGCATTGTGGGGCGGAGCCACCGGAGGCCGCACCCCTCGAGCTCTGGAGCCTATAAAGGGAGGCGACCCGCGGCCCCCCCGGCTGGTAGCCGCCAGCCACCGCCAGCGCCACCGGTTGGAGCGAGCGCCGCCTCCCAGGGGCGCCCCGCGCCGGAGCCATGACCCTCCGCCGACTCAGGAAGCTGCAGCAGAAAGAGGAGGCGGCCGCCGCCCCGGACCCTGCCACCCGGGCTCCCGACTCCGAAGCTACTCCAGCCCCGACCCCCTCGGGTGCCCCGGCTGCAGCCGCCAACCCCGGGGCCCCGGGGAGCGAGCTGTACGCGGCGCTGGAAGACTACCACCCCGCCGAGCTGTACCGCGCGCTCGCCGTGTCCGGGGGCACGCTGCCCCGCCGGAAGGTGCGTCCCCCAACCCCTGCCTCCCCCACTCCCGGTTCTCTCCCTGGTCCCTGCCCCAGAACCTGCTCGACCCCGTCAGCGCATGCCGACCGACCTCCCCACAGGTTCTCTCCTTGGTGTCCACGGAGGTGCCCCACCTTCCCCGGCACGGCCCTCATCGGCTCCTCCTGGCCCGGCCTCCGTTGCTCTGGAGGCTGCGCCCTGCGCCTGCAGCCGCCCAGTCTCGGGGGGCTCGCTGCTCCACTCCCCACGCACCGCCGCCCCGTCTCCTCTGCTGCCAAGACTCCTCCCCACCACCCCCATTCTCCCACTCCTCCAGCTGGCTTTCTGCCCTCCCCGGCCCCGCCTCCCTGTGTCCCAGTGTCTCGAAACCCCCACGACCCCCTTGTCTTGTCCGGGCTTCTCGAGTGGGAGCAGAAGGGCTCGGGATGAGGTCCCGCTGCTCGCCTCTGACAAGTTGCGGGCCGTAGAGCCCCCGGGCTGGAGAGGGGCCAGTGGCCGCCGGCGTGCGCTCTCACGGCGAGGGGCGCCTCCGACCCCGGAGGGCACCCTTCGAGGGCGCCTGGGTTCCTGGGCTTGGGGCGCCTGACAGGCGGGGTGCGGGGGCACCGCTCCCTGGGCTTCACCACGAACGGACAAGGTGTGGGGGAGTCGCGAGGTGCCCGCGGGGCAGGAAGGATGCGGGCCGCGCCCGCCCCCGGGGGCGCCCTCTTCTCCTTGGGCTCTTCCTCTGTCCCAAGGAGACCTGAACGCTCAGAATCAGAGACCCAAGACTCAGGTTAAGGAAAAGGGACTGGTGGCCTTTCCCCACTCATCACCCTCCTCCTCCCTTGGCCCCGAATCCCCCACACACAATAAACAGCTTGTTGAGAATTTACATTTTATGAAAATCGGGTTAAAAGACAAAGGGGTCTCTCTATGCTGCCCAGTCTTCCCTCCCCAGCCCTTTTGGGAATTGTCCCCACCCCTGAGGTTAATCTTTGGTTCTGGAGAAAGAGGGCCCCCTCTCTTCCTTGCCTTGGGCAACTTGGGTTCCAGTGTTACTAGAGCACTCATCAGGGGAGGCCCGGGGCTGTTTTGGCTCCCTAGGAAAAGGGCTAGTCCGATGGAGCTTCCTCCCAAGAACCAAAATTTTACGGTGGGAGAGCACTTGCTATAGTTTATCCTGGGCCCTGATGAAACTGGGATCTTCAGCTGTCACCTCTTCCACAAAAAACAACCCCTAATTTTCTCTCCTTAAGAATAGTGATATTTATTGACAAGTTTGACAGCTACGATTTTTTTGTCCCCAAAAGCAACAAACTATATGGCAATGTGGAGAGACCCCTCTGGCTGGGCACAGCTGGCTCCCTGCAGCTGGAATCCACAGCTCCTTGAAACAGCCTGTACCATAGGAGACTCCCCTGACTCTGCCCCATTCATGCTGGGATTGCCAGCTCTCCTGAGCTCCTGACCTGAGCTCTCCCAAGCCACTGTCTGAGAAATTAGCTGGAGGGACCCAAATGGCAGGGGATCCCTGGAATGCCTCGATAGACAGCCCCCAGGACCCCTGCCCTTGAATCCAACTGGAGAAGAGCCTCCCTTTTTTTCTGGAAGGGCTGAGCACCCACACATTTCCCCTCCTTCTGTTAGAGACTGTTCTAGAGTCACAGCCCCCTCCCCACCACTCTGGAAACCATCCTGTCTGGACAGGAGGAGGCCCAGATGTGAGGTAAGAAGCCTGGGAGTGATAATGCAGTTGCACTCTGCAAATAGTCATGCCAGCACCAAAGCAGCTGTAAAAGTGGGAAAGGACAGACATCAGGAAGTGGGTCCTGTGTTCAGAACTGGAGCCTAAGTGGGGGACCTTGCAGAGTGGGGCTTTCAGCATCTGCTCAAGGACAGCCCTTGCTCACCTGACTTTCTCAACTTCCCACCCAGGGCTCAGGATTCCGCTGGAAGAATCTCAGCCAGAGTCCTGAACAGCAACGGTGAGTCACCAATGCTCCCCGCCAGCCCTTGCTATGGTCCAAGAGAGTGAGGTGCTGGGGTGGCAGGGCAGGGCAGTGTAGGGGGGAGCACGACAGCATCACAGCTCTGCCTGGAAGTCACTCGCCCACCTGTAAGCATAGCTTCCCTGCTGGAGTGAGGGGCCGGCATGGGTGTGGGCTGTGTGAGGGTGGTAAGGAAAGGAGGCAGGGACTTTGAGTCATCAGGTGCTCCTCAGCTCATCCCTCATCCCTGCAGTTAGTTACTCCTCCCTTGGGAGATTTGATCTGTGAGTGGTGAGAGTGGGAGAGTAGGAGAAGCCTGTGGGAAAAGTCCTAAGCCAGGCTTAAGAGGCTTCTCTGGCCTGGCCTGCCCAGAAAGTCCAATGGGCCCCAACCACGGCCAAGCTGTGTCTAGCTGCTTGGAGAAGATGACCACTTTTAGGAAGGACCTGCAGTGTAGGTAGAAGTAGGTGCTCAGCCCAGGACCTGGGGACCCAGTTTCCCTTCTCTGCCCATGTCCCATCTCTGATTTGGGCTTGGCTTCCCCCAGTGTGGATCAGGCCTGTTTGACCCTTGAGCTGAGAGTATATATATATATATATATATATTTTTTTTTTTTTTTTTTTCCTGTCTCAGTCTCCCAAGCCCAAGCGCTGGGATCACAGGTGTGTGCCAGCCACCATCCTAATTTGTTTTTATATTTCTAAAGGGTTGTCAAAAACAAAGGACAATATAGGACAGGGGCCATATGGGGCCTATAAAGGAAGCCTAAAGTATTTACCATCTAGCCCTTTGCAGTAAACGTTCTTTAGCCCTTGCAGAAGCCCAGAAAACACTGGGGTAGATATTGACCTTCCAGGCCCCTGGCTCCTGCTCCTGCAGTACATACAGGGGCAAAGTCCTGTACTTCAAACAGCGAGGGGCTCAGGTGGGAATAGGGAGGTGGTGTGAAGCCTTTGGGGGATATCTGGCTCAGGCTGGGAGTTGAGAAGCCCAGTCTCCAGGGCTTTTCTGAGGCTCCAGACTTGAAGGGCCTTAGGAGGCTGCTTTGCCACTGCCTCTGGCGGGCGGGAAGGAAGGCGGGGGTGGGTAGAGGAAACTAGGCTCCCCCAGCCTGAGAGGGGATCTGGAGCAGGTCCAGACCATTGTGTCCAGCGGTAGGCCTTCAGTGCGGGAAGGGGCAGGGCGCCCCAGGCTCCCCTCCCCCAGCCCTCACATCTGGTGGGCTGGGCCCAGCATAGCTGGGAGGAGCAGCTGTGGTCTGCGCTGAGGCTGAGCCTCGTGACTGGCCTCTGGGGGTGGGGTGTCCTTTCCCAAGCAGTGGAGAGTGCAGTAGAGCCAGGAGGCTCCAGGCTGGGCCCGAATCTGGGGCCTCAGCTAGTCACTGAACAGCTCTGAGGCTCAGTGGAGGGCTGGGGCGTATCTGGCTTACCCACTCTGGGAATCAGCGTTCCAGGTCCTTCCGCCACTAGAGACCAATTTAATTCTGCTCACTTACCAGCAGTTCTTCAAGGCCAGTTTCAGTGGAGTCCAGGAAGGACATTCCAAAAAATGTGTGATGAGAGTGTTGTCACTGAAGACCATGAATCTTTCCCGGATGTTCTAGATCAGACTCGTGAATCCTTGGAGGCTGGAGGTATGGGACTGCCATACTGTTTAACCCTAATAGTTATGACCCTTGTTTCTCCTGCAGGAAAGTGTTAACTTTGGAGAAAGAAGACAACCAGACTTTTGGCTTTGAGCTCCAGGTGGGATAAGCTGGGGAGAGAGAGCTGATGGTTGGGAGATCAGTCTGAGGGATGGAGACTCCCCTGCCTCCAGGCTGAGGGTTCCCTTGTTTGTTTCAGACTTACGGGCTTCACCACCGAGAGGAGCAGCGTGTGGAGATGGTGACTTTTGTCTGCCGAGTTCATGAGTCCAGTCCTGCCCAGCTGGCTGGGCTCACACCAGGTGGGGCCTGGGCCCAGGACGCAGGGCTGTGGGCGGGGTAAGACTTTCCTGCCAGTACAGGAGGAAGAAATCTCTCCTGAAATCAGTCTTTCTTCTTCCTATTTTGAAAAAGCCATAAAAAGAATGAATAAAACCCAGACTTTGAGGGCCTCAGTGGTGCTGCACCTGCCTGGCAAGCGAAAGGTCCTGAGTTCAATCCCCAGTACCAAAAACAAAACCAAAAAATCAGATTTTGGCTCCAGGCAAATTTGCCATTTCCTGTGATCTTAAGTAGTCCCGTGTGCAAAGTGGGTTAATAACATATACTCACGTCACAGCAAAGTGAAGGGCTGCCTGGTCTTACCAGGGCCTGGTAAGTGGCGGATGTTGCTCCCTACTAACCGGCTTCCTCCTGGCAGCATGGGCAGGAGCTGGGGAGGAGCAAGAACTCACTGGGTCTGCTTGATCCGGGGGATACCTATCCTCCCCCAACCTGGCTCAAGTGTGGGGTACCTATGTTATCTCCTCTAACAAGAGAATGATGCCTCTACCAGGGGACCCCTGAAATTGGGCAAATGTGTAGTCCCCAGTTTCCAGGAATGTGCAGCTGGAGATGGTACAAATTGACTCCTTCTGCTCCATTCTATCACCATTTTTTGTTTTGTTTTTTGAGACAGGGTCTCGCTGTGTAACCCAGGGTGGCCTCGAACTTGCTGGGATCCTCCCATCTCAGCCTCCTGAGTGCTAGGATTATAGGCATGTACCACCACGCCCACTTCTGTCACCATTTTTGTCCCTAGGCTTTTACTTCTTGGCTCACTTACCACCAGGCCTTGATATATTGCAACTTTGCAAAGCAGTTTCGCATCCACTCTCCCTCTGATCACCTCTGCACTAGCCACAGCAGGGATCCCTACTCCCTTTGCACAGATGAGAGGAGTCCTTAGAGATGCTGGCATGCCCTGCCTAGGGTCAGGAGTCCAACAGTGCCACTAGGTATTGGAAGCTGAGACCTCACACCTGGGCCCTGTGTTGGTTCCCAGGGGGATGCCACTCGCCCCACTCCTTTCCTGGTCTTGACCCACATGGGCTAAACAGAAATAGCCAACTGTGGGGGCAGCCCAGGGGCCTGGGGGCTCAGTCTGTGGGGACAGAGCTTCCTGGGGGTGTGGGTTTGTGAGAGCTTACCCTCTTTGAGGTCCCTAGCACCTAAACTAAGCTAGGCCTGGACAAGCTGGTAGTCACATCACTGCAGGAAGAGAGGAATGGCCATGGTTGTATTGGTGTGTATTTGAGATAGGAGAAAAGAAATGTCCTAGACGTCATCAGTAAGGGGCAGGGGAGGGAAGTCAGGAGTGCTCCTTGGAATTAGCCTACCTCCCCTGGCCATGCCAAGGGGCTGGAATTCTTCTGTGGAGCCTGCAGCAGGTTCTAACTCCTCTGTGCCTTGCAGGGGACACCATTGCCAGCGTCAACGGCCTGAACGTGGAAGGTATCCGGCACCGGGAGATTGTTGACATCATCAAGGCATCAGGCAACATTCTCAGGTATGTCTGGGCTGAGCTATACCTCAGGGTTCCTGAGCTCAGCCCCTTGGTGTTTCCTCAGCCCCCAGGCTCATGACCCTCTGATCCCTTAATTCTTCAGACTGGAGACCCTGTATGGGACATCCATTCGAAAGGCAGAACTGGAGGCCCGCCTGCAGTACCTGAAGGTAAGACCCCAAGAATGTCCATCCTCCACGCTCCTCTTCCCAGACCCCTGCCCTTCAGGTCCCACACTTCTGGGGGTTCATTCATCTCCATAGAGCTTAAGCCTGGTGTGTTGGCGCCTGCTTGTAATCCCAGCACTTTGGGAGGTTGAGGCAGAAAGAGGAAGTTTGAGTCCTGCCTCTGTAACTTGTCTACTCTGATCCCTGTCTACTTGTGTCCTGCTGGTCTCTGCTAGCTCCTGACTGGGGCCGGGCATGTGTCTTACAGCAAACCCTGTATGAGAAGTGGGGAGAATACAGGTCCCTAATGGTTCAGGAGCAGCGGCTGGTGCATGGTGAGTAGTAGACCTAGGTGTAACCGCCTCCCCCTCAGCACCTGGATCTGTGTGTTCCCCTTAGAACTAGTGAGCTACTGTCCCCTCAAAAGTGAAGAAGGGTTCCTGTATAAGGGTTTTGTCTTAAGAGACTACTTTGGGTGCTATACTGCCCCTGCCTGAGGCGCACACATTTTTGGCCCTCTGGAAATAAGTATCAGCATCGTTTTCCAGTTGGGAACACCAAGGCTCTGAGGAGTTTATTTCAATCCTGTTCAGGCCCCTTATGTCCTAAGAGGTCCTCATAAGGATTTGACTTTGTAATTCCAGTCTTACAAAGGGAGGTTGAGGCCACACAGATGGTCAACAGGAAGGACCTGGATCTCCCACCCGTGCCCTCTGGCCCGGGCCTCAGTGGTCCCCCTCCCTGTGTCTTCTGCCCTGGCAGGCCTGGTGGTGAAGGACCCCAGCATCTATGACACGCTGGAGTCGGTGCGCTCCTGCCTCTATGGGGCCGGCCTGCTCCCGGGCTCGCTGCCCTTTGGGCCTCTGCTGGCTGCGCCCGGAGGTCCCCGCAGCGGCTCCCGGAAGGCCCGCGGTGACGCCCCCGACGATGCTGTCTACCACACCTGCTTCTTCCGGGGGGCTGAGCTGCCCGCGCTGCTGCCGCCTCCACTGCCGCCCGCGCGCGCACCGGGCTCTGCGGAGGCTTTGGGGCTGGGTCCGGGGCCGCGGGCCGCGCTGAGCCGCAGTGCCAGCTTGCGCTGCGCGGGCCCCGGCGGGGGCGGCGGTGGGGTCGCCCCGGGCGCGCTCTGGACTGAGGCCCGAGAGCAGGCCCTGTGCGGCCCGGGCCTGCGCAAGACCAAGTACCGCAGCTTCCGCCGGCGGCTCCTCAAGTTCATCCCCGGACTCAACCGCTCCCTGGAGGAGGAGGAGAGCCAGCTGTAGGGGAGGGGTGGGCAGGGAGGTATTTATTTATTTATTAGTAACAGCCAGAGCAGAGTGTGGGCGGGAGTGCGGCCCGGAAGACCCCAGGAGGCCAGAGCAGCGGGAGAGGGTCCGGCGAGCCCTGGCTGCCTGGTTAGTTCACGGCTAGTCTGTGCCAGTAGGGCTGAGCCAGGAGCCTGGAGCCCTTCTCTCCTCCGGAACTCGGGAGCTGGGGCAGGGGGAGAACAGGCAGTCGAGGTTGGAAGAAGTCTGGGAGCCAAAGGTGGGCGAGCTATCCTAGTCTGGGTCAGTAGTGCCTTGTGGGTGTCCAGGGAAAACTCCCCAGCCAGGGTGGGGCCCTGTCCCACGAAGCCCTCCCTCTTCCTCAGCTTTCTTAGCTCCCCCGCCCTTAGCCTGGGGGAGGGGTCCCCTGCTGGGCATCCCCCCCCCACAAAGCCAGTGGGCCCCAAGGGGGCAAGGTGCTGGGCCCCTCCCCCAGCCTTGACCCCAAGGGCTCGGTCCCTTCGAGGGGCCTGTAACTAAGCAGGGTCCTGCTGGGTGGGGTCCTGGGTTCTGTGCCCTTGGGGAGCAGGAATGGGCACGTTCAGGTAGGCTAGGGGCAGCACAGACTGCTCTGCTGTTTTGCATTTGTTGCTTCTGAACCACAAACTATAAAATTGACGGTTTTTTGCATCTGTGTCAGCGCTAACTGCCTGAGGGGGAGGACTGGGCTTGGGCAAGCTCTGACTGCACCCACGTACTCTCTCCAAATACACACGCGCACATACTATATTTTACATCCTATTTTCTTGCAGCCTGAAGCCAGAGAGATTGTCTAGGGCATTTTAACCTACATGTATGGGCCAGAACTGAGGCCCTATTCCCACCTCTGAATTTGGGCCTCTGGTTTAAGTGAATCTTCAGCATCCCTCAAATATCCCACACAGGTGGAGCAAGGCATGTGAGGTCCTTCACCATCCCGTAATTCCTCTGTGAATGCTGTGGTTCCCTCTCCCCACACCAGGCCTCCCTTCCTGGACTGAAGGCACAGGCCAAGTTACCCCTTTGTGCTAGACTAGAACTCCTCAGTGGGAAACTACTGCAGGAACGAGACCTTACTAATGTGCTGAGGTGTCTGACCCCTGCCTGCTCCTGTTGTCCCCTCCTGTTCCCTGCACTGGCTGCTGGCTCCTGGCTGTACCTAGCTTCAGACCCCACCTCCCTTGAGGGTCCCTGCATTGGTTCCGCCAGTGGGACTTCAGTGGTTGGGTCTGCATCCTCCACAAGCCTGTCCAGTCACCCAACTCTTGACAGCCCTGCTTTATTTCCATCGTCTGAAATTGTCCTGACTTCTATGGGTTTTATTTTATGCCCACCTTCCCCTTTAGGTCACTTGATTCTTACAGCAGCCCCAGTTACTTTCTGTCTTACCATTTCAGTCTGCCCAGTCCTGGCTCATAGTATATCCTCAGTACAGGGTGTGTCAGCATTGTCACCACCTTATTTGAGGTGACCCAGGGCAAGTAGCCTGTCCAGGGTCACACAGCAAGCTAGCAGAAGTGACTTAATGCTTGTGTTCAGTGTCCCTCCCTGGCAGTAACAAGCCCAAGGCCTGGCTTTAAGTGAGTCCTCCCCCGGCTAGGCCTCTCAGTAGTCAGGGCAATAGCTATTAAAAAAGGAAATGGTAGGGGCTGGGGATTTGGGGATTTAGCTCAGTGGTTTGGCCGCCTGCTGTGCAAGCGCAAGGACCTGAGTTCAATCCCCGGTACCAAAAAAAAAGGAAATGGTGGGGGTGATGGCTCAGTGATAGAGCATGTGCCTAGTACATAAAGTCCTTGGGTTCGATCCCCAGCACTGCAAAAAAAAGGAAAAATAGGGGCTGGGGATTTATCTCAGTAGTGCCACACCTGCCTCGCAAGTGCAAGGTCCTGAATTCAATACCCAGTATGGCGGCGGGGGGGGGGGGGTTATAGGAAAAATAAAAAAGGAAGTCAGACCATGACCCCTGCTTAAACCCATTATGGCTCCCCTGGAATGAAAGACAACATTCAAAAAAACTTGGGCGGAGGCCAGGGATTTAGCTCAGTGGTGCCAACGCCTCGAAAGGACAGGGTCCCGAGTTCAATCACTGATACCAAAAAAAAACCACTTGAGTGGTACTAGAGGTTGAACCCAGAGCCTTACATGTGCTAGGCAAGCACTCTACCACTGAGCTACATCTGCAGCTTTTAAGTTTTTACTTTGAAATAGTCTCACTAAACGCCAGGCAAGGCTCAGACGTTCCATCCTCCTCCCTCAGCCTCCTCAGTGGCTGGGATTACAGGTGTGCAACCACCTAACCCAGCCTGTTCAAACTCTCCCAGGGTCTATTCATAACACCTTGCCCTCAGCCAGTTACAAAAAGGCATCCACTTCTCTGGGCAGACAGCAGCGGCCCAGGCCTAAGGACTTGTGAAGCGGCAGCCTTTGTGCAGCCTTTGTGTAGGACCGAGCCTCTACAACTCCACTGGGCTGCCTGCATGGGGCCTTCCAGGATATGGTCCGCCTCTCCCTCAATCTCAAATTGCTTCTCTTCCCCTAATACTTATTATATTTAGGCCACACTACTCTTTCTGTTCCTATTCCTCAAATATGTTCCTGCCCCTGACCTTTACCTGGGCTACTCCCTCTGCCTGGAATATGCTGCTTTCCGAGACTGATTCCTCACCTTCAGGTCTCCACATCACATCCTCAAAAGAGGTTGCCCTGATCCAATCTGATGTTCCCTCTCCCATTATTCTTGATCTCTAGACTCCTATGTTCTCTTCCTTACAGTGCTTTCCTCCACTTGGTAGTTATCCTGACTGCTCCTGTAGCTTTCTTTGGCCTTTGTGAGGACAGGACCCCAACCTTGGACCTGACACAGCCTGCTGAGAGAGGTGCTCAGTAAACCTTGGGAGGGAGTCCAGGCCTCCTGGGTCCAGCCCTACCTAGGGGCCACCCTGTTCTGTCTGTAGTTGGAGTCTGCCGGTCCCTGTCCTAAAAATGCCCTTGGGTTGGGTGGCAGCTCCAGCCAGAGTACCAGCACCTGTTCCCAGAGGACACAGTTGAAGAAAATGAAGCTTCCCCAAGCTCTGTGTTTGAACAGCTGCTCTGCAGTGAGAACACACATGGGCTCCCTGGGGCCCAGGTCTAGGGGAGGGGCCCCTCCCTCCTTCATTCCCAAGACCCAGGGCTGCTGGGGGACCAGCTGCCTGCCTACAGCTAGCACCTAACTGGCTTTCTCCAGCCCTTGGCCCTCACAGGTGCCCAGCCTGTCTCCCACCAGCCTGTCCCTCCCCTTGCCATGCAGCTGGTCTTGGGAGTGATGTCTGTACCCCCACTCAGGCTGGTGGGGGCTCCTGGCCAGCCACGCACACCCAGGGGAGGGGGAGGGGGGGCCGGGTGGGGCGGATCCCACCTCTCAGCTGATGAGATGACGGCACCAGGACAGCAGCCTCCTGCCGTGTAGGTGGGTGACGGGGAGTGACTAATGTGTGAGCTGCGATGCTAAAAATTAACCCAGGGATCGTGTTTGGTGGAGGGGGTGGCGGTGTTTGAGAAGAGAGCAGGAACACGGGATTTTGCGGGCTCGGTGCCCCTGCCCTGCCTCCCTTCTCCCTCCCTCTCTACCGGCCTTCTGAGCCCCTGCCCTGCCTCCCTTCTCCCTCCCTCTCTACCGGCCTTCTGCTGCCCTCCACGCCTCAGGGCACTCTGGGAGCCTTCTTCCACTCCAGGCCGGGATGGCCTGCCCCAGCAGTTCCAGCGAGGAGAGCTCACTCGGGCTTGGTAGGCTGAGGCCATGGCCCTGCACATTAGGTTCAGGTCTGAGCCCTGCAGAGCCCCTGGGTCCTGACCCTGCTGCCTGGGCCACAGGCAATGGGGGAAGTAGGAGCAGCCAAGGTACAGAGGAGAGGGCAGATTCCCATCAGCCGGCCAGAGTCGGAGGTGATGAGGGTGACAGCTTCGCAGAAGGAAAGGACAGGGGACTGTCTGCTCCGCACGTGCACCTGCACGCCTTGCTGTGCTCAGCACGTTCACCCCCTTGCTTCACCTAACCCTCGCAGAGCTGACAGCCGGGTATCACTTCCCGTTTTATGGATGAAGAAACTGAGCATTAGCGAGGATAAGGTCACAGAGCTGGTACTGGCAGAGACAGGGTTTTCTCTTACATGTCTCTAGAGCCTGGAGTGGGGAAAGGGACGGCTTTCTGCAGGAAGCCTTGAGGCCAGGGTCACAGAGATGGTGAGGAATGAGCTGAACCTGCACCGTGGTGGGACTCATCTGTGGAAGAGCAGTGGGGTCAAGGGAGGCGTACGAAAGGGCCCTGAAAGAGCAGAGTCTGAGACTAGGCCAGGTGCCAAAAGGAGACCAGGTCCAGAGGGACCAAACTGCAGGGATGAGCCAGGCGTGGTGGCGCGTGCCTATGATCCCAGCCCTCAAAAGCCGAGGCAGGAGAATTGCCATGAGTTTGAAGCCAGCCTGGATACATAGTGAGTTCAAGCCCAGCCTGAACTGCACAGTGAGACCCTGTCTCAAAACAAACAAACAAACAAAACCCTCCAGGGACGTGGGTTATGTCTGGAGTGAGGCGAGAACCTTCTCATCAAAGCAGAGGAGAGAGGAGGGCTCTTAGGACTTAGGTCTGGAGGTCACAAAAGGGGCTTGAGCTTGGACAAAGGCTTTTATACGCCCATGCAAGAAAACCTTTAGAAGAGACCCCAGGCATACTAGCATTTTCCCTGGAGACCAAACCAGAGAACCTAGGCTGGACCGCAGCAGACAGAAAAGATGTGAGGCGGTAGAAACCTCTTTCCTCTCGCCAGTCACTCAGGAAGCTGGGGAAGTGAGGGTGGTTGTGGGATTCCCCGAGGTCAGGAGAGCCGTCAGGCTGTCTGGTCAGGAGGCTGCCAGGCCCTGCGTTGATGCGTAGATGAAATAAAGTTAAGGAGGAAGTGGTGGGCTCACAGATGTGACAAAGAAAGGGACAGGAGGCTGTGGACATGCCAGGGGAACCAATGAGTGTTCCTTAACAGTGTAAACAGGGAAAGAGATGAGACACTGGAGAGAGGGGTGAGGGTGTTGACACCTGGTGGTGACTCCAGGCACTGCACCCTCTGAGCCTTGACCACGTAGGGTGGATGGCGGGGCAGAAGTGGGTCGGTTCTTCCATCAGCCAGACAGCTAGAACATCCTGGCTTCCTCTTTAGGATCCCACCCCTTCCAGGCTTCCTCAGCCCTGCTCCGAACTTTTACAAACTGAGCCTCCTGTAACTTCCACCTTCCCACTGCATCTAGACCCTACTGCCTGCCCTCATCCCATGGGGGCTCTTCAGGGGGAAACCCTACTCTCACTCCATGACCTATGCTGGCTGGAGGCTGACAGACTTCTGCGCACAGAACCCCTGCGTGTGGTCTGAGAGCTCCGGGTGGGGCAGAGGAGGAAATACCCAGAGTAGACACTGGAATTTCTGCTGTAAGGCAGACCTAACCCTCGGTGGATACTCCCTTCCTGGAGGCTGGCCCCACAGCACAGAACATGCAAATTTATACAAAAAGTTTTTTAAATTATGAAAATTATGCCTCTGGGTCTCTTTCCCCACTGCTCCCCAGCAGCCACTCATCCCTCCCCCATGACACCCCTCCAGGTCAGTACACAGCACCTCTGGAACCTC